AGATAAAATATTGTATATGTATTATAGATGACCTTATTTGCAAAGAATGTTGTGTTGCAACCATAAATATTTGGAATGGTAAATATTTAAAAGTGTCGAAACAACTTAGAAGGTTAACGTAGAAACGTCTCAAGAAAAGCTATTAAGTTTTTATTTCATTAAATCCGGAGTAAAAACAATAAAGATGAATAAATATTTTTGTTTTTGTTCAACAACACATGAGGACATTAAAATAATAATTTAAAGTATCCGGATTTCGTTTATGATTTGAAAGTCTTTGAATCAATACTAATTTTAATTTGAATTTTAATACATTTTTTTTAAATATGAAAATATTATTTTAAATTCCACAATATATCAAAAATCAATAAATTATTCTAAAGTATTGATGTTTTATTCAATTCAATACAAGCAACATACCTACAAAAATTATTCCCTAAATTTTAAATTTATTTCAAGCGTAATACTTTCTTAGATTTACGCGAATATTTGACATTTTAAATAAAACTATCTTTTCGGATTTTGTCGCGGATTTATTTGGATTTTTGTTTCCCGACGTTTCGAATGCTTTACAGCATCCATGGTCACGGGAGAGACTGAGGTGTTACATGTCTTGAATGTATAGTTGTTACAGACAGCCTACCCACAATTAACAAAATGAAAATTGCACCAATTACATTACAATATTTTTTAACTTTAAACATTTTTATAATTTTAATTATAATTGAATATGGAAAATTATTTATTTAATTTTGCTATTATTTTTATAATAATTACAATTTTAAAATATTAATTAGTAATCTATATTTAGTGTTGCCATTATTATATTTATAACCATAAAGAAAAATATAAAATGTAGTATTAATTATTAAAGCCATATAATTGTTCTATGTGTAATTTAAAAAGTTAAAATTAATTAAGGATAATAATTTTAATTTAGTTTGCTATTATTTAAAAACAACTTACTAAGCAACACTATTAATATATACTTTTACAAATGAAAAATGAAAAATATTAGTCTGATAAGCTGTCATTTTGATCTACACAGTATGAACTTACTACATCTGCCTGTCTGTTATGTTTATATTTATTATTTGATTTTATTATATTAATAACAGGATCCCATGACGATGGTAGTACCCAGCCATCTTCCCTATTGAAATTAGGATGTTTTTTAATTTCTATGGCTTCTCGAATCATTCTAGGGCGATATCGGTTTTCTTTCGCCAGGATTTGAGGTCTATTGAAGCGAATATAATGGCTTGGGCGGTCCTGACTAATAGTATGCAAGAAGAATACACTGAACTTTTGAAACACTGCCTTACATCTGGCTATCTATTGTGGAATGATGAATTCTACAAGCAAGTGGATGGAGTGGCCATGGGTTCGCCGGTCTCTCCCGTTGTAGCTGACATCTTCATGGAGGCCTTCGAGGAGACCGCCCTAAACACATCACCTGTGACCCCTCGTTTCTACAAGCGGTATGTAGATGACACTTTCACAATATTACCATCTGATAAAATATCTGTATTCTTAGAACATCTTAACTCCATAAACCCTAAAATACAATTTACAATGGAATTGGAGTCTAATAATTCTTTAGCTTTCTTAGATGTATTAGTTATACGTAACCCAGATAACACCTTAAGTCATACTGTGTATCGAAAGAAGACCCATACTGATAGGTACTTGAATGGTGAATCTCACCACTACCCTTCACAGTTAGCTACCGTGGGAAAATCTTTGTTTCAGAGGGCACGCGGGATCTGTGACGAGCAACACCTGGCCGGAGAGCTGCAACATGTTAAGCAAGTTCTGCGAGGCGACAAGCTGCAAGTGCCGCGCCAACGTCACAGGGACCGAGTGAAACCAGCCACAGTCGAGCGCGTCCCTGCAGTCCTACCTTACATGAGAGGCGTCACTGACAAGATTGGCTACATTCTAAAGCGAGCTTCAATTAAAACTTACTTCAAGCCGCCAAAGAAAATTAGTCAGTTTCTACCACCTGTCAAGTGCCACATCCCTCTACAAGATGCAGGAGTTTACAAGCTTGATTGTGATTGTGGGCTCTCTTACATCGGACAAACAAAGAGATCCATTAGAACCCGGGTCAAAGAACACATAGCTGATGTGAAGCACCGTCGCAATACAACATCTGCTGTCTGCAAACATAGTCAGGACCGCCCAAGCCATTATATTCGCTTCGATAGACCTCAAATCCTGGCGAAAGAAAACCGATATCGCCCTAGAATGATTCGAGAAGCCATAGAAATTAAAAAACATCCTAATTTCAATAGGGAAGATGGCTGGGTACTACCATCGTCATGGGATCCTGTTATTAATATAATAAAATCAAATAATAAATATAAACATAACAGACAGGCAGATGTAGTAAGTTCATACTGTGTAGATCAAAATGACAGCTTATCAGACTAATATTTTTCATTTTTCATTTGTAAAAGTATATATTAATAGTGTTGCTTAGTAAGTTGTTTTTAAATAATAGCAAACTAAATTAAAATTATTATCCTTAATTAATTTTAACTTTTTAAATTACACATAGAACAATTATATGGCTTTAATAATTAATACTACATTTTATATTTTTCTTTATGGTTATAAATATAATAATGGCAACACTAAATATAGATTACTAATTAATATTTTAAAATTGTAATTATTATAAAAATAATAGCAAAATTAAATAAATAATTTTCCATATTCAATTATAATTAAAATTATAAAAATGTTTAAAGTTAAAAAATATTGTAATGTAATTGGTGCAATTTTCATTTTGTTAATTGTGGGTAGGCTGTCTGTAACAACTATACATTCAAGACATGTAACACCTCAGTCTCCCCCGTGACCATGGATGCTGTAAAGCATTCGAAACGTCGGGAAACAAAAATCCAAATAAATCCGCGACAAAATCCGAAAAGATAGTTTTATTTAAAATTATTTCAAGCGCATAAATATCAACGTATTTTGGAACTAAATATATAAATGAAAAAATAACATTTGGATCGATAAAAGTCTAAATATAATACAAAAACTATAGAATTTTTATGTTGTTTCACTTCGAGAAAAGAATGATTGTTCATGTGATAGTAGATATACATATTATGTGTTATATATGTACATAATATATTGATTAACTTGACCTTGCATTAATGTTTTTATCCCTAATGTAATAGGGAAATTAACGATGCTTACTAGTTATACAATATTAAGACCTCGAAGTAAATTTCTAAGAAATTATTTAAATTTTTAAGAAATCCATTGTTAACTGTAACACCGGCGTGTCTATGGTCGTGGAGGGATTATAAAAATAAAAAGCCCGACCGCATGGTAATGGTAATGGTAAATTCGGTCTTGTTTCCGCAACTCGACGTCTGTGCTCCTATTTTGCGTGTGTCCCGACTGCATAAAAGCTAACTAAAAATATGAAAACAACTTGATGAAGGAATAAAGTATTAAGCAGTCGGAGACATACGCGTTTAATCCTTGGCGTAAGATGTATGCACTATGCACATACTCGTGTGTATGTTGGGTTCTATTGTGTAAATTAAAGATTCCCCAATAACAGTTTTTCTCAAATATCTTCCATGTACTTACAGACAGCAAACAGTTACACTTTTATTATATACTAGCGACTCACTCTCGCTTCGCTCGGGTTCGTCCTTAGCTTGCTTCCCCATACAAACTTTCATCCCCATTTTCAACCCCTTTAGGGATGTTTTCCGGGATAAAAAGTATCCTACGACCTTCCCAGGTTCTCAAACTACCTTCTTACCGAATTTCATCTAAATCAGTTCATTAGATCCAGACATTACCCCCTACAAAGTCACAAACTCACAAACTTTACCTCTTTATAATATAACCTAGTATAGATATAGATTTATTATAGTGGTTTTACATTGCTTTTATGTCTCTTACATGTTCATAAAATTAAATTTTATTTAGTCATTCCCGAATGGTTTGCGGTTAATTATGAGTTGCTATGCGCCTCCTACGTCAATAATAATTCTCTAAAAAGTTTTGTTGCTATAATTTACTGGATTCAAAGACATACATATAAAACATATACATTAAAAGACATGATAGCAATCATTGTAGGGAAAAGCATAAAAAGACAACGACACGAAATTCGTGTCTCTTACCATTTTTAATAAGGAAGAAAAATTACGACAGACCCCATGTAAATTACTTATCTATAGTTAGGCAAAGCGTGCTGTGACCACTCTTCATGCACACTAAGCGATTACGGTCTTTGAGCCTTGCATAAACATTGTATCATACTTAGTGTAAAGTAAGCAAATTTCATCAAAATCCTTCCAGTGGTTTTTCTGTGATGCGGTAACAAACAGACCGACCGATAGACAGACAGACAGACAAACAGACAGACAAAAATTCTAAAGACTATAGATTTGGCCTATGTATCGATAATAATGTTTATTTCAATAAGATTTTCCAAAAAATATTTAATGTACAGATTCGGTTTAGTTACAATTTTATTATATGTATAGATTATAAACATATTTACAGTTTGTTATTTCTTACTGTATCTGCGGCATTATCATAAAATTTTAAATAAAAATCTAGAGGTATATTTGCAAACTAAACGAAAATAGGCGTACAATAAAGCTGTAGGTTAATCAATATAATAGATATAAATATGATTTTTAAGATATTATCGTGTTTGGATATGAATATTTTATCTGGTAATGATAATATTATTATGTTAATATTCTGTAACAGTATAAAGTTATTATTAAATTGTTTCTTGCAGAGTGATCATGGCATCGAAAATATTAAAAAATTTAAATAGAAGTTTGAATATTTTGCAAAGGGATAAGAGAATAGCAAGCGTCGCTATAAGAAACATCAATGCGTGGACACAGGAAGGCATTATCAAGTCTCCTTACAAAACTGTGGACATTCCGAATTGCACTTTGAATGAATATATATGGCAAAATTTAGAAAAATGGCCCGAAAGGACGATGGCAGTGAGTAATACTGTTTATATTATTTACATAATCATCGTAATTCGTACCAAATGCGCAAGCTTATTTGTTATGTTGTTTTATTTTCATTCAGTAATGTGAGCAACTCATCAATACATTTTTTTTAAATTGTAAAGTCGTAGTGGCTGTCAAGTTTTCAGTACATCATATTATAGGTAAAAGAAGAAAGTGCAGAAACACGAAAGTGCAGAACACAGAACAATAGTCTCTGTCAGAAGCGAGATTGGCTCGACGAGTTTTAAATATATCTCAAAGAAAATTAATTTATTAATGAAATTTAATTTATTGTATGCCTGTTGTAGTCGGTAATCTTGAGAAACGTTTGCGAAGGTCGCCTTTGTTTACACTCTGTAGTACAAAGTTCAATGCTCCTTTAACCATTATAAGTACAGTCACTTAAGCCAAATAAAGGGGTCAACATCGGAATGAGAGATAAAAAATGTAAGGTTTCGCTATTTTAATGTATAATAAAACAGTTATTAATTGATTATACTGGCCACACTGACGGCGCGAACGCACAAATTATGATAGCTTTATAAGTCAGGTAGTAAAAATTATGAGAATGGTCGAAAAATAATACAGTTAAAATAGAAAGAATAAATAAAAAAAGAGGGGATTGGTCGGCGGGGAGTTGGCATGGTTAGACATGCTTTTCGTGTTTTTAACCGGAGTAAATAAATAAGAAATTGTTGAGATTATTCTCAAACTCTTAGTTTCCTAAATCTAGTTAAAATATTTAAGTTTTAAAACATGAAGCTGACTTTTCCTGAGATATCATACATAAGCTAAATACTTGTATAAGCCTGTATTTTGGCCTCAGATTACAGATCAAAAAGTCTGTTCTGTATTCTGAGATTTTGGCGTTCTAAAATGTTTTCCACTTTATAAGTTTTAATTGCACTTGCAATTCGTTTTTGCTTTATTATTTAACAAAATATATATTAGATATGTATTTAAAATATTATTAAATAGTGTGTATAAATAATATTAAAATTATGAATAATCATAAATATTTTAGTGATTTACTAAGTTTTTACGAGGTATTATTCACCGGAACCGGACTTTGCATTAGGCTGTGCATGGCCGAGCGCCGGCCGTTCTCTGTGCTCCCAAATTTTTCCTATAGTTTTTATAATAAACATTAAAGTCTTTCATTAGAGTCATAGAAACCGAGATATTTGCAAAAAACGATCTTTATGACCTTTGATCTTGAATATCTTAAGACGCGGACAAGTGTTTTACGTGACGTCAAGGAAAGCTTTAAGAACTCCAAAATAAAGGTTTATACAAGTATTTAGCCACGGTATAAGCCACGGTAATGCAATGCATACAGTATTACAAATCGGGCCTGTCCTTGAAATAATTACCTACAGCCGAGCGGCACGTACCCACGCGATAGGGCTGCCCGCCGGCCAGTATTTTAATTTCATCTACCTACTTGAGTTTCTTTCTAGTTTTGTGATTTCAAATATTATTTTTTTATTTAAAAATATTATTTGTAGATTTAAAAAAAATCTCAAATTTATAAAGGTGGTATGTGACCCTTATAAATTTAAAATTTAAAAATATTTGCATCTCGACTGAGACGTGTACGAAAAGCTTTATTGTTAAATTTAATAGTATAAAAAGTCCACATTCAGATAAAAAGTTTAATTAAAAATACTTTAATCTTTATTTTTAATTTAATTAATTAGTTTTTATTTTTAAAACATACGATGTCTCGATACTTTTTTGTTTGACATAATAGCGAATTTACGGGAGGAATAAAATGTTTATTTTTGTATCCAATTATAAAAGTTACATAACATAACTATCTTATAAAATTTTCGTATCAAATTATACGATATGGCAGCCCCCACGGTTGTCTACCGAGTGTATACCGAACGCGACGCGCGTAGGTATAACTCGATTTCCGACCTTTTGTATGAAGATGGAATACTGTATGTAACATTACCGTGATTTAGCTTATCATTCTCATTTCGAGGTTGACCCCTAATATGACTGGACTCCTACAGCTTCAGCAAAAATAACTTTTTAACCCCTTTTATTTTATGAGTTTAGAAAATCCGAAGAATGACTCTGATATGCCATTTCTAGTTCATTTTCAGAATATTCTTGGGTTTCTTGTTAAATGTGTTCAATTTTTAATATTTTAACCATTTGAGTTTCGCAACGATAAGTTTGTGAATTTTTTTTTTAATGGAAAAAAATATTTGATGTAATTTGTATATATGAAAAATAATTTATAAATAAATATCAGTGCAATTAATAAGAGCTTCAAATTTTCAATTTGTATAACTCTAAGTTAAATTATATTTGAGAAAAAAACTTAAAATGTAATGTACCTACCTACCTATCTGCGTTGATTTGTTTAAAATTTAAGCTGCAAGCACGGAAATAATAATGTATAAGCAATTTATCTCTTTAAGAACCACAAATTAGCTGTTTTTACAATAACATAATATTTTGACGTTTTTACTATATGTTCATAAATTATTCTCAAAATACGTACGATTTTTTTGTAAAATAACTTGGATTTTTGGCAAATTCAAAGGTGGTTTGCGTGATAAAATGAACTCTCCATTTTTACCCGACTCTATGGAGTTATACTTACTATGTTTCTTCATCAATTTATTTCGCATCATTTTAGTTCTCTTTTGACGCAATCGAGTTATTTTATTTTTGTAATTGTAATAATAATGAATCTCTCTCATAAATTTAAGGTTTGTGCAGACACGGGCCGTGGCTATACATATGAACAAGGATTTAATTTATCTCATACCTTCGCTGCAAATCTTCGCAAAAAATTTAAATTACAAGATGGAGACACTGTAACAGTTATGTTACCCAACATGCCGGATTTCCCCTTAGTGGCTTTGGGCATTTTGGAAGCCGGTGGAGTAATTAGTACTATTAATCCTGTATATACTGCACGTAAGTTATGTTTTCTATTTATTACCGTATACATATTGCTTATTAAAAATATTATGTAATAAATTGTTTTTTTTTTTAATATATTATCGAAAAATGATAGTCTAAAAGATTTTCCGTAAACAGAAATCAAATAATTTTGTATATCCATCTAATACTACTACTCCATGACTAGATTTTTTTATGAACAATAGTAATTTAAGTGAAACATACGCATAATTAAAGTTGCAATTGGTCGAATGAATCCAAAGTACACCTCGACCTCTTGTTGACGAATGTTTTTATTAAATAAATTTCGAATTTGGAAAAAAATATGAGAGTAAAATTTTTACGATGCGCGCGCACACCGACAGCCAAAAATCGACATGATGAAGGTAGCTGCATTCCTTTTACAAACAGAAAGTTTATGCCAAAGAATTATAACTTTTTACATGCGAAGGTACATAAGTACACATACACACACACACTTTTCTGTCTTAATTTATGCCTGAATGTGTTTCCAGAGTGAACTCCAAAAGTAGGAACCTTCCAAGATCCAAATTTATATTATCCAATTTGCTATTTAAATTTTAAAAATTTAAACTTTGTTATTTACACGTTATAGGTCGTAACGTACCTACTACAATAATCTAATAACACGTCATCGTTACATTCAAAATAAATTACGAGGTCTAAGTTTGTGAATAAACAATATAACTATAAATAAAATATTATAAAGTTAATGAAACATCACAAATTTAAAATTAATGACCTTATTGCATTGATATAAAAAAACTTAAGATCAGCGTCTCAAAAGTGTCCTCAGAAAAAGAACGGACAATTTGAAATTATAACGACTACTCTATATAGTTTTTTTCTGCCCGACTCCCGAAGGCCATTGTTTTTCGGAACACATAAAACGTGACAATGCATATTGTTGTTGACAACGTACGTGTATGAAACACGTAAATTCAAATTTTTGTTAACACGATGAAAACTTACGATTTTTGTGTTTTATTCTCTGGTTTGACCTAACGTCACTTACGACCCCATTTTTTAGAGATACTTACTATTTGTTAGGAACTGTGCACATAAGGTTTATTATATCAATGCGAAATATAAATTAAAAATTATATATTTATAAAAGAAATATATTTTTAGATGAAGTTCAACGACAGCTGTTGATGTCAAACGCAAAAATAATAGTTACACTACCAGAAATAGTAAGCGTCGTTAAAGAAGCGATAAAAATTGCCAAATTAAATATCCCCATTATAGTCGTGAAAACAAAAGGAGATCAAACCCCTGAAGGCACTATAGCATTTAATGAACTCAGCGAAGATGTTCATGTGGATAAATCATGTTTGAAGGAAATTAGACGAAAATCCAGTGACATATGCTTTCTGCCATATTCGAGCGGTACCACAGGCCTGCCGAAAGGTGTAGAACTAACACATAGGAATATTGTAGCAAATTGTGAACAAATAAATGAGCCTTTAATACGATGCCATGAAGAAACGACAGGTATTATAAATTTTAATTACTAATAATTATTTTATTGTTAAAAATTGTTTGGATATTTGTCTCGCAATAATAAAAATACATATTTATCAGGTAAGCTCAGTAATTATCAGATAAACTTGATAGTATCAAATTATTATATTATCTTCTGAAGATTTTAAATTAAATTATATTGTTAATTAGCTACACTACACTGAACTGAAGTAACGGTAACGGGGCTAATTTAAAAACTAATATTAATATCTTATAAAAAATAAAAGCCAAAAATCTATTCTGTATAATATACTCGTAGATATTAGTAATGTTTGTTAAATATTTTCTATAGACCATTAGTTTTTAGACACTATGACGTAACGTATTGAATTGCATTATTCCACAAGTGTAGTCCAATGTTCTCTATGCATGACTGCCTTGAATATTTATAATGTACACAATGATACACAATGATACACAATGATAAACTATGTATAGTAGTATGTAATATAATAGGGAATATGCGTGTGATTTAAATAAAGGTTAAATAATTTTTTTATAATCGTTATTGCTCTTGAATTAAGCATATATCAATATTTTTATATGTAATTTCTTTTAAATTAAAAAAAATATATTAAAATGTGCAAATATAAGTGGGAAATTCAAAGTAGTTGGAATGCACGCCATTGGTCAGACCGAATATGACGTCAGTGTACCATAAGAGAGCGATTAGCGATTTTGTTCGCTACAAATTGAGTCGTTTTTTCTGTGTATATCATACGGTGACGTCACGCCAAGCGTGCGAAATGGCGGGCGTTTAAAGTATCCGTATCGTTTAGATATTTTAAAATATCAACTAAATTTTAGTTTTTTGGACTTGGTTTTTTTTTACAATTATATAACGATGTAAGCTTTTGTAAAAAAAGGAAAATCCCTATTGATGACTGATACAATGTCATTACTTGCACGTAACCTAAAAGTGTATTGAGGAGTTAAAAATAGAAATGAATCAGACTATTATTATAATATATGCGGAAGTTGTGTGTTTGTATGTTTGTATGTGTTGTATGTTTTTTATTCCTTTACGTTCAAATGACTGGACGGATTTCGATTAAATTAAATACAATATAGACTACGATCTGAAATAAAACAAAGGCTACGGTAAGGGACGTCTCAGGGACGGACTCTAGTGAAGCAAGATTAAGTTAGTTTTGATATATCTAGTTTAAAGTCCATATTCAAAATTGCTCCAATATTATTCCATGCAAATCTTAGAACACGTACTGTTTAACTAATATATTAGAATTACGCTCTTATATCTTCATATTGTAAATATATTTTATGAGTTAGTTGCAAATTAAACGCAGTACAATACACAACACACGCTTAATTCCTTTCACTCGCATCGCTAAGTCTATTCATGCAATAATACACCTTAACGCAATATACACGTATCTTAGTTCAAACATCTTTTTTGGTATTTTAAATTGTGTATATTGTGTGTGCTAGACATAAACCAATGAAATATTTACTGTATTTACTACAAACTAACTGTTGTCGTAATCAAACTACTAATACTATTTTTAGGAATCTTGTAATTTTTATAATTAGGCAAGCAGACATAAATCCTGCTTGGCTTTCCAGTTTACATATTAAGAGATATTTTTCCTTTACAGCCAATTACCAGGATGTAGTGATGGCAGTTCTACCTTTCTTCCACATATATGGGGCTACAGTTCTTATGTTCCATAAGATGTCTCAAGGGATAAAATTAGTGACATTAAGCAAGTTTCTACCAGAAACATACCTAAAGGCTCTGGAAAAATTTAAAGTTAACGTTCTGTTCCTTGCACCTCCACTAGGTATGTAAAAATAAAATCGAAGTGTCTACCTGTGATTTCAAAATAACTACCCCAAATACGACACGTTTGTCTCAGTTTGTAGTGACCCTACTTGCTCTGCCAGCGATCGCGGGTCTAGTCCCGTTGGTGGCATTCATTTGTGTGATGAGCACGAATTTTTGTATTCCAGTCATGGGTGTTTATATTTAAAATATGTAATATGTATGTATTTAAAATTATATATGTGTAGTGTATCAACTATCTGGTATCCATAAAACAGACCTCGTAAGTCGTAGCTTACCGTGGAACTTGATGGTGCTGCGTTTTAATGTCCCAACATATTTATTTATGTATTCATATTTCTACGGTTATTTGAAAGACAACAAAGATCATATTACTGTTTATATTTTTATTAATTACATCTTTATATTTAGAATTGCTATAAAAACCAATAGTTTAAATAAAATTAGTTTGTTAAAATATTTTATGGCTATTTTAGTCCTAACGGTATCAATATCATCGTTTAAATAACTTTTCTATAATAATAATTTTATGTTACTAAATTGACATTATAAAACAAATTACATTCCTTGCAGTTATATTGATGGCAAATCATCCGATGGCGTCACCAAAAGTCTACCAATATTTAGAACATGTGATCAATGGGGCTGCACCTTTATCCGCTTCTGATGCTGAAAGGTTTTTTAACAAAGTTCAGGTAACATTTATTTCTTTTGTTGAAACATAACACTTTTTTAACAAGTTATTGTCTTTTTAATTATAATTTAAGCGAAATAAAATTATTGTTGTTAATTGGAAATGACAATAAAATAAATCAAATAAATGTTTCATAATTTCTGTAATGATTTATAATTCTTATAAATGGTAAGTACTTATTATAAATGGTAAGAACTTATTATAAATGGTAAGTACTTATTATAAACAGTAAGTACTTATTATAAATGGTAAATATGTGTGTGTCACTTTATACATTTTTAATTTTTTATATTTATTTCTAGAAATAATAAAATTTTGAACTTTCGCATTTACCCATATATTAAAAAGTTTGAAACAGAAGGGCATATATATTTATTACTATTGTATTATTTCAGCGGAAAATTCGTTTTGGTCAAGGCTACGGTCTTACTGAAACAAGTCCAGTTATTTCTATGGCGCATAAAACTTTGGAAGATTATAATTCGATAGGGCATCCTCTTTCCAATACTGACATCAAAATTGTCGATACTGATTTGAAACCTTTAGGAGCTAATGAGGTTAGTATTTAAATATAATAATATATAGTACTAGGTAAATATTAACATTTGCTTAAAAAATTGAGTAACTTAGAATTATGGTATTCATTTATATAATGTTCGTGCCCAGCTTTATGTCTCCTTAGTGAAAATGATCACTTGTAATGGTCAATTGTGTCATATTATGTATTAACTATCTCAGTGGTGTAGTGGCTAGCATGTACGGCTGCACACTCGGAGGTCCTGGGTTCGAGTCCCGGGTCGGGCCAAGTTTAGTTATTGAGTCTTTCTGTATAGTAAGTCTCAATAACAGCCCGGAGTTGGGAAGTCGGCGGAGTTTTACCCCCGTGGCTCGGAGAGCACGTAAAGCCGTCGGTCCTGCGCCTTAACTCTCACTGGTCGTGTCTCGCGTCGTCCCACCGGAGTATGAGAGTGACAGGAACAGAGAGTGCACCTGTGTCTGTGCGTACACTTGTGCACTATAATATCTCCTGCACAGTTGGCTAGTCTCAATGAGATTGGCCGCCGTGGCCGGAATCGGTCAGGAGAACATCATCATTATGTATTGCAATTACCTAATAAGTTTTAGTTTTAAGTAAAAAAAGGCTCTTACTTCAAAAACACATAGAAATAATTCACACCATTTAGGAATAAATTTTGTTGGAAATTTATATGCATATTAAAGATATACTTGAGTAATCAGTAACATACATGTACAAAAACGGTATAACTGAAGTAAATACTTCCTCATTTTTGAAATCGATCAAAAAGATGAATGATGCACGATTTAAGATAAAGTTGGTCCTTATAGAGTTCTTCATTCCACGACAAATTTGGGAATAGTTTTTCAAAAAATGTTTCGCTTGACTTGATACTATTATTTTTTAATTTATTCTATAAAAATAATATAAAAGTTTCGTTTGAAAAGTGATAAATAATTTTTTATGGTTTACAGACTGGTGAGGTGCTAGTGAGGGGTCCACAAGTAATGCGTGGCTATAGAAATAATCCTGAAGCTAATGCTGAAGTCTTCACAAATGATGGTTGGTTTAGAACCGGAGATTTAGGAGTTGCCGATGAAAATGGATATCTCAAAATAAAAGACAGATTAAAAGAGTTGATTAAGGTTTGTTCTATGATTTTAATTGTCTTGTAATTATAGTTTATGAGTTTATGCATGAATAATGAATGAATAATGAATGAATGCAGTAAAGCCTATAAAGTAATAATAAAGTATGTTCCTTCGTCAACTTGTTTTCATATTGTTAGATCGCTTTTTGCGCAGTCGGGTAAAATATCGATAATCAGTTATATTTAAATTATTGTATAATGTAAAATTCGTATAATTTACAATACCTTGACATTATATAGTTTGTTGTTTAACATTATATACAATTTTAAGTTATTTTTATAACATACGTAATAATTAATATAAAATATTACTTACTATTATTAGAATAGGCAAGCGAAATTTGTTTGGTTTCCCATCTTCCCACTAGGGAGAGTATCACACATTATTATCGATAACGAAAATCCTTTAATGCCAGAAAAAATTGCTTCATGATGGTCATAAAACCACATGAAGAATAAAGGTTTAAAGTTGAATCTGCATTTATAAATTAAAATTACGTATAAATACATGGATTTGTTGTAACATTAAATTATTTTCAGGTGAAAGGTTTCCAAGTGCCTCCAGCAGAGTTAGAGGCACTTTTACGTGAGCATCCATCAGTAGGCGATGCGGCAGTTGTTGGCGTACCGCATGCTACTAAAGGAGAATCTCCAAAAGGGTTTGTCGTTTTAAAACCTGGACAAAAAGCTAGTGCTGAGGAACTATGTGAATTTATTCGTGGAAAAGTTGCTTCTTATAAGCAAATTGACGATTTATTAATAATAGATAATATACCTAAGAACCCATCTGGTAAAATTTTAAGAAAAGATTTAAAGGCAAAATATTGTTAACATTTAAGAGTAGGTTTCATGTCGACAGCTGTGTTTTGGTGTACACTTTACAGTTTATCGTGCTCTGATAATAAATTGACTATCAAATATAGACTACTTTAGTTATACTTGGAGGAAAAATTACATATTTAAAGCCGCAATTCGTATATTTATGTTGTTATAAAAAATAGGGGTTCTTTAATATGTAAGTTAGTTATTAATTCTAGGTTTATATACATGTAAAATATATTGTTGTAGTACTTGCAGACTTTTCCTTTGTAAATACATACATATAAACGTTTATGGGACGAGAGGTAAATATTATTTGGATTTATCAATCACATAATAAATAAAATCTTATCACATCACTACACATTTTGACAATGTCAATAGTTTGTAAAATTGAAGAATAAAAATCATAAAATAATATTTTTGTAATTCGTAACGTACAAGTATTTTTATATGTTTTTATAAATAAAAATTGATTCATAGTATACTCGGCATGTTTATGTATTTATACCAGGGCTCAGAAACTCGTTCGATTTTAAACCGGTTTTGGTCATTGATCCTAAACCGAAAGGCTTGTTAGTTACGTTCTTTAACCGACTAAAACTTGGTAAACGGTTTTTGAAGATTTTGTTTTCACGATCGAAATTAACCGGTTCAAATGAGTTTTTGTGAAATTAAATTTGTAGTTTCTTACTTAAGAATGAGTTAACCGGTTTATTTCGATTACAAAACCTAAGTATCACCTTTCTCTAAGAATAACTGTTAACCATTATTATTTCAATTTGCTAAACCGTTCGTTTTTATTAACTGGTTAATGAACGAGCGATAAATTAACCATTACATTACCGTTCGTTTAAACCGGTTTCGAGCCCTAATTTAGATCATTAAAGCCTTTAAGATGTATTCATATCTATAGATTGTATATTTTTATAGATTGTGTAAAGCAATAAATATTGTATATGTGATGTTAGCAGATATAAAATCTCTATGGTATTTATTAGAAAAAGGAAATGCGATAGTACTACACTTGATTGTAAAAATATTATGATTCTTATATATTTTTATATGTGCTTGTAGTGCTATTTTTGTAAGAACTTTTATATAACACAAAATAAGAAAAATAAATAAATCACGACGGCTAAATAATGCATACAAACAGGTATGTGGTGGAATATATTCGCGGATTCAGCTATCGAGATACGTAAAAGTTTTTATAGAATAGCCCTACAGACTACAATATAATAAACAATCTAGCAAGGTGACAGTTGTATACAAAATTTTTGCAGGTGGCATTTTTATTATTTTTAACCTAAAACATAGTTAATTAAACATAAGAAATATAATACGGTTCCATGTAAATTTTTATATTTTTTTATTATATACTTACATTATAGACCAGGGTAGAAGCCTTTAAAAATAATAAAAAGTGAAAAAAATAATAGTAGGATGCAACCCATTAGAAAAGGAGGCGAATATTATAAAAATGAAAGGAAAAATAATTTACGGGCGATCTGAGGTCGGGAAGGGGTGGGGTCAGCTTATAAGGGTAAAAAACGGTTTTTCTCGATTTCCGGCAAAACTAAAAGTGCTATCGAAAAAAAATTTTATCTTTTCACCTTACCTTTTTTGAATTAATTTATCGAAATTTAAGCACCTTTCATTAATATCCTCATTTCAATCGAAAATTCACCCGTCAAAATATCAGCCTTTTTCAAAAAGTTGGTATGTTTTCTGTTCATTGAAATCTCTAATTTCCGATGGTGAAAAAAAATATATGTTACTATAGTAAATCTTCTGAGAAAATGCAAAAAACAAAAGACCTTTTTTATTTCATACACTTGCTTATCATCTGCCTTATTGCAGATGATACAAACAGATTCATCCATACTGATAAGCTGAATAGACAAAATCGAATTGATAATGCCTTCACTATTTTATCGTGAGTATGAAAAAAATATATTAAAGAAATAAATGTCAAAATGTATAAAAAAATATATGAAATATACATGAATTATAATAAAATATATGAAATATACATGAAAATCGGCCAAAAGTTAGTTATTAAAAATATATTTACTATACATATTTTTTATATATTTATACATTTATTATAGATTTTTAATATATTTATAATATATTTTTTATACATTTTGACATTTATTTCTTTAATATATTTATTTTCATGGGGGTATACTCACGATAAAATAGTGAAGGCATTATTAATTCGATTTTGTCTTTTCAGATTATCACTATGGATGAATCTATTTGTATCATCTGCAATAAGGCAGATGATAAGCAAGTGTATGAAATAAAAAAGGTCTTTTGTTTTTTGCATTTTCTCAGAAGATTTACTATAGTAGCATATATATATTTTTTCACCATCGGAAAGTAGAGATTTCAACGAATAGAAAACATACCAACTTTTTGAAAAACGCTGATATTTTGACGGGTGAATTTTCGATTGAAAATGAGGGTGCTTTTTCGATAATAATTCAAAATAAGGTGAAAAAATAAATATTTTTAATCAAATAAATTACAGCGTATTTAGGACATAAAAAGGTAAGTTTTCACCAAATTTCGTTAAAAAATTTTTTTTGTAAAAGATTAAAATAAAAAACAAAAAACTTGGTTTTTTGATATTTTCACATAAATTTTGAGGTTATGTGAAAAAAGTGTAAATAAAAAAGTTTTAGATCTTTTTATTACCTACAACTTTGCTTTATGACTTTTTTCGATAGGACTTTTAGTTTTGCCGGAAATCGAGAAAAACCGTTTTTTACCCTTAAAAGCTGACCCCCCACCCCTTCCCGACCTCAGATTGCCCGTAAATTATTTTTCCTTTCATTTTTATAATATTCCCCTCCTTTTCTAATGGGTTTCATCCTACTATTATTTTTTTTGGTTTTAAAAATTATCGACCCTGGTCTATTATATTTACAGTTGGAAAAGAAATAAAAAAAGGCTGTTGAGCTGTTGTTGTTTTATATTGATTTTTATTTGTAACGATCATTCATATCTTGGCAGTGGTAGTTCAGTGGCAACGCGCTCGCTTGGGAAACCGAGTGAAGCGGGTTCAAATCCCGGGTCTCGCACCTCTGATACGCATTGGCCAGCGTGGTGGACTACGACCTGATCCCCCTCGTATTGAAGGGAGGCCCGGCCTCAGCAGTGGAACGTCAAAAAGGGCTAAAGACAATACATAATATGTTATACAATGTACATATTAAAATAGTAAAAAATGATTTTAATAATAAAAATTATATATCATGTCATATTAATTGAAATGCATATATTTTTCAAATAGCAATTTCAAACTTATTTTCAGCCGATAATTCAAATAATGCTTAAGGAGACACAGTAATTTAGATATAACGATGCAGGATTTTCTTTGCTTTTAAATTTAGTGATTATCATAATGTTTATAAAAAAACCGATGGCCTAGGGGTAGCGAGTTCCCCCCCCCCCAACGTGCGTTCACCTTGTCGTGGTGGGGGGGCTCAGTAGTGCCCGGCAACCCAACCGGGCGCGAAGCCAAGAAACGCACAGGGAGGTGGCCCTCTTCGGCGGGCGGTGGGAGGTGGCCCTCTTCGGAGGGCAGTGTACCATGCGAGTTGCTCCTGGTACTTCTCTGATAGCAGAGTGGACTGTGGAGCAACCCCGTGGTTGTTGTGGTCTGCTTCGGCAGACCTGCCGTCGGGGCGTCGTAGTTGAATGCGTAAGCGATCCTGCGATGCCCCACTAAGACGGGGGAAGGTTTTGTTGGGTTTTAGTGGGTAGTACTGGCTTTGCCGGTGGGTCCCACATCTCGTGCGTAAAAGCAATTCCCAAAGTTAAAAAAAAGGGGGTAACGAGTTCACATGTCAATCCAAGTGAAGCGAGTTCAAATCCTGGGTCTCGCAATTAGAATGTTCTCATGTGCGAATTATTTTCAACATGATTACCACTTATGCCTACATATGCCTTACGGTGAAAGAAAACATCGTGAGGAAATCTGCTGTATGACATTCATGAAATCGATTTATGTAAAAACAGTATATACACGGAAAAAAAAACGATTTGCAAAAGATAAAAAAATAAAAAAAGAAAAACTCTAGTTAGAAATATACCTAGTATCATTTATAGTGTCATTGTGTTTGTAGAAACTATCATCCAGAATAAATCTGGTAAATGGTGCAGTTATTTTGCAAAGTTATGACTTGATTTGATGAATGTCCCAACATATTTGATTTGATTTATATTTACCTAGCATTGCCCGCGGCTCCGCCCGCGTTCAGATGACCAAAAACCAAATTCTTAGGTTTTACATATTGGATTACTCTTACAATGCAGTTTTTTTTCTCAGAAATAAGATGTTTCCCCGCGGTAAAAAGTATCCTATATGTTGACCCGGATAACCACCTATCACAATACCAAATTTCATCAAAATCCATCAGTGCTTTTTCTGTGATGCGATAACAGACAGACAGACAAAAAATCTAAAAACTATAGATTCAGCCCCTGTATCGATAATAATGTATATTTCAATAAAAATTTTCAAAAAAGATCTAATGTACAGATTCGGCTTAGTTACAATTTTATTATATGTATGGATTTACGAGTACTTCTAGCCCTCAAAAGATTTCTCCATTTATTTTAGCATACTTTTACATAAAGAAAAAAACAATCTGGCGAATTTACCTATCGGTTTATCTCGAAGTAATCGCTGTACAATATAACATACATACAAAAAACCGTACGTAAGTTTATAATCTTATATTTTATGTAAGTCGGTTAATTAAATACTGTTTTATTATCGTCTCTTTTGCTTCACTAATTATCTTTTAAGAAAACCGATTAAAGAAATTAATTTGAAACAAAATGTTTCAATTTCAATGTAAAACCATGTTATTGTATCAAAAAAATATTTTGCACACGAAAATATCAATTTCAATTTTATAAAATACTAGTGATTCACCCTCGCTCCGCTCGAGTTCGCCTCTAGGTATATTCAACTTTTAATATAGATTTCTCAGGAATGATATATTTTCCCGCAGTAAAAAGTATCCTATATATTGACCCGATAACCAGCTATCATGGTATCAAATTTCATCAAAAACTGTCCAGTGGCTTTCTCGTGATGCGTTCCCAGACAGACAGACAGACTGACAAAAATCTAAAAACTGTAAATTCGACCTTTGTATTGATAATAATAACTATTTCAATAAGATTTTCTAAAAAATATTTAATGTACAGAGATTCAACTCAGAAAATTTCAACGACGATTAAAAGACGTATCAGCAAATTTTTTTAATGATAGAAAAAGTATAACAAATTTTATAGAGAAAAAAAATATATTTTTATTATTCTTTTAAAGAACATTCATATTAATTATTTGAAAATAATTAATTTATTGCGTATTGTAACTACTGATACTAATATACAATTAATATAAAAAAGACTCACAGTAATCACGTCAAATGACACTCACGTGAAATTACAATGAGATTTTTTACAATTTACACACTGTAAAAGTTGCCCGAACGATACAGACGTCTTTGGAGTTCTCTGATATATTAACATAAAAATGTTTCAATGTAGAGTGTTATTGAACGTTTTTGGAAAAAGAATATTTTGTGCTAGAATGAAACATGTATGGGCGAGTAGTAAAATTGTGTCATCGCCTTTTGAAAATATAGTGGTTCCGGATATGCCTATATCTGAATATGTGTGGACAAATGTCGAGAAATGGTCAAATAAAACTGCAATGGTGAATATTTTATTTATAAGATATATTAGATAAAACTATCTTTATATATATATTAAATAAAACTATCTTGTCGGGAGAGACTCTCCCGTGACCATGAATGCTGTAAACTGTAAAGCATTCGAAATGTCGGGAACAAAAAATCAAAATAAATTCGCGAAAAAACCCCAAAAGATAGTTTTATTTAAAATGTCAAGTATTCGCATAAATCTAAGAAAGTATTATATTAGATATATATTATAATGTTCTGGTTGCTTCTCTTAATTTTTAAATTTTGTTAAGTTAAAATTTTTGTAGCACACTCGAGACCAAATGCGTGTATCTCGGATGGTATAGATATTATAGATTAATAAATCATATTACTATTTTTCGTTACTGTTTTTTTTTAATATAAAACTATAAATATTATATTTTAATTGATTTTATAGCAAAATTGTGGAATGTGTTACCGCATAACATTAGACATTCCAGGTAGAATAGAATAGAATAGAATCTTTATTGACACAATTGTTTGTTTTACATAAGCCTGTTGAAGCCTCTGACTCCCAAACTAGAATAAACCTGTATATCAGGAGTCAGCGCCCTCTTCCATCTTTAATGATAATTGGAGGTCAATAATATTACGGTGAATGTTAAACTTAATTTTAGAAATTCTTTGTGAAAGAAAGAAGTGAGTGAGTTGACTTATAACATCACCTTACGAGTAGTAGGTACTATAACTTAGAACACTGTAGGAGAATTTTTTATTCGCGTGTATTTTTGTGAATGATAGATATCCATTCTAATACTATAAATGTGAAAGTGTGCTTGGTTGTTTGTCCGTCTTTCACGTCAAGACGGAGTGCGGATTGGCGTGGTTTTTTTATGTGGAGATAGTTGGAGGGCTGGAGAGTGACATAGGCTACTGTTTACCGTGGGAGATTATCTAATTCCCACGAGATAACACGTTATAATGCAATCCAAAAAATATTTCTGATCAGAATTACTTGAAACTTGGTATAAATGCTCTTCAATATAATTAAATAAATACGTGTTTTAGCATTTTTCGAAATTTATCCTTTAAGGGGGTAAAATTGGGGATGAAAGTTTATATGAAACTACCTTTTTAAAGATGTTATTGTAGTTTTAGTGCGAGCGGAAACGCAGGTTCTGCTAGTTATCTATACATATAAAAAAAATCTGAGTCGAATCTGTAAGTTAAATATTTTTGGAAAATATTATTGAAGTAGTCAATATTATCGAAACAGAGGCCGAATCTATAGTTTTTAGAATTTTTGTATGTCTGTCTGTCTTCGTGTCTGGAAACGCATCACGAGAAAACCACTGGACAGATTTTGATGTGGTATGATGATTAAGGTATATACTTCCGGTATTAAATTTTATTGACTTTTAATTTTGAAGATCTAAAACAATATAAAATTTAAATTACAATAAGTTACCTCATTTGGAACCAAATTTAATCGACTTCATGAACGAACTTATTGACCATTGATAAGATCATTAGCAATAAACATTATCAAATAATTTTTATGATAGTTTGTTATTTTTATCATTTGAGAGATAAAGAAATAAAATAAGCACAAGTGACGTTTGTTTACTACTAGCATTGCCCGCGGCTCCGCCCGCGTTTAGATGACCAAAAACCAAATTCTTATGTTTTACATAAATTAGTATACTCTTACATTGCAGTTTTTGTATTTTTTCTCAGAAATGAGACATTTTCTCGCGGTAAAAGTATCCTATATGTTGACCCGGAATCCGGATAACTAGCTACCACCAACTTTCATCAAAATCTCTCCAGTGGTTTTTCTGTGATGCGGTAACAGACAGACAAAAATTTTAAAAACTATAGATTCGGACTTTGTATCGATAATAATGTGTATTTCAATATGATTTTCCAAAAAAATATTTTATGTACAGATGCGGCTTAGTTACAATTCAATTATATTTATAGATATAATTATTATGTACTTATACAGTAAACGTAGTATGGCTTCCCAGTGTAAAATTAGAGTTCCTGTCAAAATGTTTACTAGGTAATAGCTAATTAGGGGACTGTAACTCCGACTACGGTCACTACATCCTAATATCATAAATTTGAATGTGTGTTTGTTTGTTTGTTTGTTTGTTTGTTTGTTTGTTTGTTTGTTTGTTTGTTTGTTTGTTTGTCCTATGATTGATGTATCATGTAACTTTTTGTATACAGATAATTGGACGGCTGCAGGAAGACGGATATTTTTTACTATAACGCTATATTAATATAATTCATATATTATAATAGATTTATAAATTTTAGAAGATACCTAACAACGTGAATTGCTTGTTGATAGATATTTAATATGCAATATTGTGTTTTACGAGACCAACACGCAACCATTGTTTACTATCACATAAATAGGTGGTTGCTGCGATCGTACTCTCAGTCAAGATTGCCTAGTTTCTATGGGGTTTTAAGCATGGGAAAGTACAAGACAATGAGAAATTGTTTTTGCCATAGCAAGAGAGTATACTCTCTATGAAGTTTATTTGTGTTATTTGATAACAATGCACAAAAAATAGTCTGTATATGATATAGATATACGGTTTATATAATACGTCAATAACCTATATGACGGTAGGTAAGGCAGTCTTAACGTTATTTGTACGTGTTTTGTTTACCAATATGTACTTACATTTAGCCTTGCTATTTGGATCGCAAGAGTAAAAAAAAGTTAAAAAAACAAAAGTCGTCTGCGTCTGCAAATGTGGAATCAATCAAAAAGTATTTATGTAAATAAATTAAACTTAAAAAAGCATTTGCATATGAAGTGGTTTTCTTTACATATATACATATTTATATATATATATATATATATATATTTATATATACATATATACATATACATATATATCTACATATGAAAACATTTTAATTATGTTTGTAATATATATGTAGATATTATATTATTAGGGTACGAGAAATTAGCATCTTTCATGCCTTCATAAATTTTATTATAATTGTTAGTTTTAACGCATAGTCTACAGTCCCCGACGAGTATTTCTTAATGATTAATAACAAACTAAAACTTCACGAGTAGTTTCATTTTGATGAGGCGCTCAACTTTTCTTTCTATGAAAGTTTGATATTGGTAGCTATGGATTATATATTATGATAGTTATGGATTGATACGGAACATGTCGAAATGGTGATTTACGATTAAATCTAGAGAAAATACTACATTAAAAAAGAAAAAAATGTTGTCCTACAAAACAGATGGTTCGCATCAAATCGTCCCTCTCTCCGAACTTGTAAAAATAACAACGTCATAAAATGTATAAATAACCGGCTGTGTTTCATAGTATTTATTATTAAAAATATGTATAATTGAATGATCAAATCGTCATACAAATAAAATTATAGGGTTTCTCAGTCCTACGCTTGGATATCGTCTCCCGCACCGTTATACTTTATATGTAGAAAGGAAATTGGGCGTCTCGTCAAAATGAAGCTTGCTATTAATCATTAAAAAACCTTTGGGGACTATAGACCAGTATCTACTTTCTAGTAATCAAAATAAACTTTAATCGTCAATACTCAATGGTAATGGTGGAAGGATGACTGAATAAGGTATGTGTAGGTAGAGATAATAAAGTGTTAAGTTGACACTTAAATATGGTTATGTCAACTAAAAATTATAAAATAAACAATAATTACTTGAAAAACAACACACATCTCATAAAATAAAATATTTATTTTATTACAGGTATGCGCTGTAACTAACAGAAAATATACTTATAACGAAATATATAAGCAATCGCGAACATTTGCAGCAAACTTGAGAAAGAAATTCGATATAAAAGATGGTGATCCCGTTATTGTTATGTTACCTAATATACCAGAATACGCCACCGTGACATTGGGTGTTCTAACAGCTGGAGGCCTCGTATCTACATTGAATCCTATTTATACCACTTGTATGTATACATTATTGATTAATATTAGTACTTTTAATTAAATTTAAATTAGTACTAGCATTGCCCGCGGCTCCGCACGCGTTCAGATAACCAAAAACCAAATTCTTAGGTTTTACATATTAGTATACTCTTACATTGCAGTTTTCGTATTTTTTCTCAGAAATGAGACTTTTCTCGCGTTAAAAAGTATCCTATATGTTGACCCGGAGAACTAGCTATCACCATACCAAAGTTCATCAAAATCCCTCCAGTGGTTTTTCTGTGATGCGGTAAGAGACAGACAGATACAAAAATTCTAAAAACTATAAATTCGGCCTCTGTATCGATAATAATGTTTATTTCAATAACATTTTCCAAAATTAATGAATGTACAGATTCGGCTTAGTTACAATTTTATTATATGTATAGATTGCAATGACTATTTTTTCATACATTTGTTCTCTTTTTGGCAGGGATAACTTAATAGTTATATCACTCTGTTAATTAATACACAATTTCAAAACAAAAACCGAGTCTGTAATTGAGGCTTAATATATCACAATTTTGGTCCCTATAATGATGATAAAGTTAAAAAGGACTAGCGACTCGCCCACGCTTCGCTCGGGTTCGTCCCTAGGTTCATTCCCCATACAAACTTTCATCACCATTTTCACTTCCATAAGGGATGATTTCCGGAATAAAAAATATTCTATGTCAATATTCTATGGAAAGCCAGGGTCTCAAACTATCTTCTTACCAAATTTCATCTAAATCGGTTCAGTATTTTTTGGTTCATTCAGAACAAATATACAAAGATTCAAATCTTTCCTTTTTATTATATTATATTAGTGTTATAGATAACAGCATAAACAAGCTTTCTGTAATTAAAAACAATTTCTAACCCTTAATAACAATTTTGTTGTATTAAATACATATATAGGTGTTTCTAATTTTCAACAAATTTTTATAATACTTCTATTTCAGATGAAGTTCAAAGACAAGTATCTATGTCACGACCTAAATTAGCAATAGCCGTTCCTGAGACTGCACAAACGCTAAACGAAGCTTTAAAACAAAATAATCTCAATACACCAATTGTCGTAGTTGACACGTTTCATGATCGGCCCAATGATACCGTGTCTTTCAAGGAAATAGTGGAAAATGACATTGATTTAGATATTTTAAAGGATGTGAGAAGGACAGGAGATGATGTGTCCCTTTTACTTTATTCAAGTGGTACTACAGGATTACCTAAAGGTGTTGAATTGACCAATAAAAATATTATAGCTAATTGTGAGCAACAGAATGTTACAAATATTCAATATCACACTGATACCTCAGGTAAGTTCACCTGTGAAGTTCTTTTTAGGAAATATTAGCGACTTAGCATTGTTTCGCTTGGGTTTTACTTTTTTTGAGCGGAACCCTAATTCTTTTTCTAAAATTACAATAGCCTAAGTTACTTCTTATAACATCAGCTATCTGCCAGTGAAAGGCCCTTAAAAATCAGTGACGCTGTTTCGGAGATTAGCCGGAACAAACAGACAAAATTTAAAATAAATGGGTTTCCATATAAGTACCGTAAATAGTGTTTAGTAAGAAGCTATTATTTTAACATTACAAACATACACTTCAATTTCATTTATATTTATAGGTTTACATACTGTATTTTAAAAATAAATTATTTTTATTTTTTATGGATTTAAATTAACTGACTGTTAATGTAACGAGTTATCTAAGTAATTAGCAATTTATTTTTCATATACATAACCTTCATACCTTGAGCATTGTTTATATTTAAGTTAAACGTGTGACAGTTTTAGTTACCTACTTATGTAAATAAAAAAAAAATATATTTAATAAAAGGTTAAAATATTTTATTTAATTTTAGAGTTTAGATCAAAAACGTGACAATATTTTTTTTAATGATAATGAAATTCTCTCAAATCTTTGATGGTGTGTATGTAGGTAACGATCATAACCGTTCGCCACACCTTTACGTACGTATGCTAAATAAGAATAAATAATATAAGCAAATAATTTTTCTTATATTTTTGTATATAATCATCGGATAGAAATACAATATATATACAAACTTAAGTAGAATAATAGATAGCTTAGCTGTAAAAAATAAAACTTATTTAGTTACTCTTGCTAAAACGCTAGTCTTACAATATTTATTTAAAATTTATTTCAGACTCTAATCAAGACACTATCCTCGCATATTTGCCTTTTTTTCATTCTTATGGCATGTCAGTGAATTTAATTCACAAGTTATCTGTCGGATTGCAGATACTGACTCTACCAAAATTTCAACCTAATACCTTTTTGGATGCATTTGACAGATTTAAAATTAATATGATCTATATGGTTCCGCCAACAGGTAATAAAAGGTATTTTTTATTTATCGCAACCTCGCATTATATTTAACTTTACTATAAATATTAATCCTTGATATTTAAGATTTAGTGAGAGTTGTTTCAAAGTACAATCTACTTTGTAGAAGAAACCGCACGATCACCATTTTCAATTTCAATACAGACAGTATTAGTTACAAGCCAACATAAAGAATTCATGTACACTAGAAAGATATATTATCAAATGAAAAGATCATATTCTTCATTATTCTCTCTATTTGTGATTCTTATTTTTTTAATTCTGAATCTGAATAACCTAAATCCAGAATCTTCTTACACAAAATAAAAAAACGTTCCATAATTTTGGGAATGATGATTGAATAAAGAATAAAGTGTAATGAATCTTAAAACAAGTGATAAATAAAAAGTTTAAAAAACCCCCGACCATCTTGGACCGATTTTAATCAAACATAGCTAAGAACACTCCCAACTAATTCACTTTTCAAACAAAAAAGAAACAAAATCAAAATCGGTTCATCTGTTCGGGAGCTACGATGCCATAGACAGACACATACACACATAGACACGTTAAAATGGAATCTTTTTCCAGGAAAAGTACTTTTTATACCTTTTTAAGGAGCGCTAATATTTTGTAATTATTAAAAAGTTTTTGAAAGTTCAGTAATATTTTAATTCATATAAGATCTAGCACATTTTATTGCATATTTCAGTTTTTTTTTTGGCAACAAGCCCAGAAGTTAAGCCGGAATATTTCGAAAAGTTAAGATGTGCTACTACAGGCGGGGCACCTGTAGCGATGGCTGACATTCATAGATTTTTAGACAAAATTGGTGTAAGTACATTGTATTGGTATATGGGTGTTGGTGGTGTATTAGTGTAATTTAGTGTACATGTTAGAACCCATATGCACTAGGACCGTGGTCGCTCGAAGCGACAAGTGGCAAAAAAGCTAGTTGCACTTCGCCACTAAACGTGTGTCGATCCATCTCTCTGTCATCAGTACTACTTATATAATAACTACAAAAAATCTATAAAAAGGTAGTTTCATATAAACTTTCACGCCCTATTTTACAAAAAAATGCTAAAACACGTATTAGTTTCAAGTAATTCTGATTATAAATATTTTTTCGGATTGTATTATAACGTGTTTTCCCGTGGGAAAGAGATAATCTCCCGCGGTAAAAAGTAACCTATGTCACTCTCCAGCCCTCCAACTATCTCCACACAAAAAACCACGCCAATCCGTCACTCCGTTTCTACGTCAAAGAAAGTCAAACAAACAAACACTTTCACATTTGTAATTTTAGTATGGATTTATCTATATTTAGTAAGAAAATGAGTTTTTTTTATATTTTTTATTTTAATATTATACAAATATGGAAATATCATTGTGTAAAAAGCGAATTAAATAGAAGGGACTAAGTTGACGGGAAAGTGGTATTATACAGTCGTAGTCATACATACACTTAGCAAGATTCAAAAGAAGATTAAAACATAGTATGTATTATGTCTCCGAATGCATTAGGTTCCTTTTTTAACGTTGGGAAATATGCTTGCGCATACCACCTCCATATATACAGGTGTTATGTGGGACTCATTGGCCAGAAAAGCAAGTACTACCCCCTAAAACTCAAGGGAACCTCTTAATTTAGTAAGTACGAGGGAACATAAGATTGAACATACATATGAGTCAAACACATAACCCTCCTTAGAGTCGTTTCATCGTAGTCGGTTAAACAATAAAAAGAATTAAAAAAATTATGGTTAGTTTAAGTAAAATTATAATCTGTAAGTCAAAGAGGACTTAGACGTACACTAACGAATCTATAAATGCATATTTATATGAAGAAAGTCAACAAATAAAGATTTCTTTTGTTTCATTATAATCAATATAAACGGTACAAATGTCAATGTACCGATGCATATATTTACGTGGTGACTCGTAATATATTGTGTTAAATTATCATCAGTAATGAATTCAAACGCGATGTATCTATACTAATATTATAAATGTGCAAGTTTGTGAGTTTGGATGTTTGTTACTTTTTCACGCCAGAACGTCTGAACGGATCTGGATGAAAGGCAAAGTGATAAATTATAGTCTAGAATAACAATAGGCTACTTTATATCCCGGAAAAATATACGGTTCCTGAGAGATAGATTTGTATTTGATCAAATTATTCCCTGTGATGTTGTACGTGATCATATTTACAGGAAATTAAATGAAAACTAGCAAGTCTCCCTTGTTCCTCCCTGACATGTGCTTTATTAACTCTTTATACATCATCCTCCTGTCCATTTCCCTTACTTGTCCGCCGTCGCACAGAAGATCCAACACGTGATAACCAGCACAGGATCGTCTTCTACGACACTTGCAGTATTTTATCTTGAAATGTGTATTTTTTTTTATTTGTCGCGACGCGACGTCAACGTTCAATTTTCTCTTTCCAAAACGTATTCGTTTTCTTAACATGAGAATGTGTTAAGACATTTTTGTAGTATTCTAACAAGTTTAAAGTTATTTTTTATATATTTTAAATTTTGAGCACATCCTTATTTTGAAATTTCATGTTATCAATTTTTTCTTTTTTTTTATTAACTTTTTATACATATATACATACATAAATACGCAAAAACAACAGATCAGTTCCTTTTTCTCCTTTGTTTGTCATCTTCTTTTCAATTTCTTTTTTTTTGTTTTAGAATATATGTTGACCCGAATAACCAGCTATCATCATAACAAATATCATCAAATCTGTGCAATGGTTTTCTCGTGATGTGGTCACAGACAGACAGACAAAAAATCTAAAAACTATAGATTCGGCCTCTGTATCGATAATAATGACTATTTCAATAAGATTTTCCAAAATATATATTTTTTATTATATGTAACAGATTAGGCAATATATCGTAATTAGTCCCTTAACTATTATGATATCATATTGTTACTTTTAATTACTTTTTTTACATAGAAGAGATCTTTCATTTTTTCACTCCATTTAACGTTTTCTCCTAATGTTCTCGAGGTCCAAGTTTTATTATGACCAGTTACAAAGTCCTTTAAGTACTATGGGGATAAATAGTGCTCTATATCTAAAAATATGAGAAAAGTATAACTAAACCCAAAATAATGATTTTCAGATTTTTTGTCTTTTTCTCTGTGCGTTTTTACGCGCAAATCGAACACACTAAGAAACTGCTTAATCGATTTGGGTGCGATTTTCATATTTAGCATTTGTTTTATTTCAATTGGTTCATAAATGAAAAAGTTATGTCAATTTAAAGAATCACCTAGTATACATTTAGAAATCTCTTCTTTTATTTTTTTTACAAATAAAATATATTATAATGAAAAAAATGTGAAAATGCAATAGAAGTGACATACCTATTACCTATTCATAGCGATATATTATGTAGTTCACAAAAAAAATTTTTTGAACGTATCCTTCATGAACAGGGGACTGTACGATTCACTTACTCAAGCAATCAGAGGAAGCTTGTTTTGGTTTTAGTGCAACTCTGTAAAACCGCGATGTTAGCCTATATTGCAACAACTAGTTAGGCTATTTATTTCAGATAATAATGCAATATGTACAATTATAATATTGCTATTTTTATATTTAGGCGTTGTATGAAAATATGCATAGTTGGAACATATTTCATATTGGAATAGAAATTATAATAGATGTCAAGCTAAATTGTAATTTTTTTTAAATTATACGAGCTTCACTTTAGAAAAATGTTACTTTTAGGAATTCGAGCTGAATACAATACTTGAAATACTACGTTTAGGTAATGTTTTGAATGGCCTGTTTTCATCATTATATTTCGTACCTCTTCCGCGTCTGTCTGTCTCTCTCAACGCGATAAACTCAAAAAATACCAAAAAGATTTTTCTAAGGTTTTCATCAATGGACAGAGAGATTCATGAGGAAAGTTTAGGAAGGTATATGATTCATTAAGCATTTGTGTAAATTAACTGAAATATATTTGCGTCTGCCGCGTAATTTATTGCAGCCAGAACTACGAAATGTTCTAATAAATTGAAAAACATGCAAATTACTATAAAAAAGTCTGAGATAGCATATGTCTTGACGTGAATTTACAATAACTATTTTTATGGTTCTCAAAATGGGTCTAAAATAATACTTATTCGCGAAGGTGTTTTTATTGACATGTTGTCAATCCTTAATTTAGATTAAAACTGATATTTACACCATTTAAATTAGATAATTATCTTAGAAGATATCACAGAATTAAAAGAACTCGCGAGACAGCGGGGCTAGTGGCAGACGGAGGATGTTTGTTTCGTGTTTTTAGGTAGATACTTATTTTAGGACTACATATACAGTAGGTATGTTTTATTTCTAAAATTTTTAGGGTTCCAGTCAAAAATTTGTCAAGATTGTAATATATGTTTTATAAAAATTTCCAGTAGAGTTTCTAATAGAAAACAATGTATTGCAGAATTATTCCCACTTAGGGACGCACCCTTAAGTCGCTAGTTGTATTATATTTAGTACCAGCATTGCCCGCGGCTCCGCCCGTGTTTAGATGACCTAAAACCAAATTCTTAGGTTTTACATATTAGTATACTCTTACAATGCACTTTTTGTATTTTTTTCTCAGAAATGATATATTTTCCCGCGGAAAAAAATATCCTATATGTTGACCCGGATAACCAACCATACCAAATTTCATCAAAATCCCTCCAGTGGTTTTCTGTGATGCGGTAACAGACAGACAGACAGACAAAAATTCTAAAAACTATAGGTTTGGCCGCTGTTTCGATATATTATCGAAACAGACGCCATTTTTAACATTATTAATGTTTATTTAAATATGATTTTCCAAAAAAAATATTTAATGTTCAGATTCGGCTTGGTTACAATTTTATTATATGTATTGATTGCAACAGTAAAAACCTGTATTTTTATAACCTATAGATATATTTTAATTTATTTGGGAAATAATTGTAATGTCTGATAAGACAGGAAACGTAAATTACCTGAGCAAATAATTAATAGTAATAAAAAGTTAATTACTAGCAGCACTTATGAAATATTTTTTTTGTGTTTCTACTTGGATAGTTCCATTTTATTTGCTACATGCTAATTAATATACTCATTAAAACTAAGATGTTTAAAAGGCGCAAGCTATTACATAGTATAAAATGAAGTCGCTTCCGCTGTCTGTTCGGTTAGATCTTTTAAACTACTCAACGGATTTTAATTCAGTTTTCAGTAATAGATAGAGTGATTCAAGAGGAAGGTTTATATACATAATATATGCATATTATAGTACAATAGTAGTAGAAAAGCCGATCAATTCAAAGATTTGTATTTCATACAAACTGTTACAACGTACCTAGTAATGAAATAAAGGAGAACAATAAGAAGTCTCGGAGAGCTGTTTGATCTTTGTCTATTTATATATGAATGTTATTTTTTCAGCATGAAATACATTTCGGACAAGCGTATGGACTTACTGAAACCGGGCCGCTTGCGACGTTAGCGCCTGTCGGTTTAAAGGAATATACCTCGGTTGGCTGTGCTCTATCGAATGTGGAGTTAAGAGTGGTGGACGATCAATTGAATAATCTAGGCCCTAATGAGGTATGTTAATTATAAATAATAAATACATAAATTAATGAATTAGTTGGGACATTAACACACAGCACCATCTAGTTCAATGGTAAGCTACGAGGCCTGTGTTATGGATATCAGATAGTTGATACACTACACATATATAACTTTTGAACGCATACATTTACATATTATAAATATGTATAAACACCCATGACTGGAGTACAAACATTCCTGAACATCACGCAAATGAATGCCCCGAGCGGGACTCGAATCCACGACAGCTGGCACAGCAAGTAGGATCACTACAAACTGAGCTAAACGTTTCGTCTTGCTAACTATGAGCTTAATATTATAATTTAAATGTAAATATTAATCTATACATATAAGAAAATAGTAAGAAAGCAAAATCTGTACATGACATATTAATAAATCAATTATTGTAAAGCATTGTTTATAGAATATGGACTCTTGAACAATACTTATTGAAATGTTTGTCTGTATATCTGTTTGCACGCAAAAGAGGGCTTTGACACGGTTTACAGAAAACGGTTTATTTCGCTAATGTAGTGGTTAATTTATCGCTCGTTCTTTAACCGGTTAATAAACAGGAACGGTTTAGTAAACTAAAATAATAATGGATAATGGTTATTCTTGGAGATTAACTACCTCGGTGGTGTAGTGGCTAGCATGTACGGCTGCACACCCGGAGGTCCTGGGTTCGACTCCCGGGTCGGGCCAAGTTTAGTTATCGAGTCTTTCTGTATAGTAAGCCTCAGTAACAGCCCGGAGTTGGGAAGTTGGCGGTGTTTCACCCCCGTGCCTCGGAGAGCACGTAAAGCCCCGACGGCTTTACGTGCTCCTGCGCCTTAACTCTCACTGGTCGTGTCGAGCAGTCGTCCCACCGGAGTATGAGAGTGACAGGAATAGAGAGTGCACGTTGTGTCTATCTCTGCACTTGTGCACTATAATATCTACTGCGCAGTTGGCTAGGCTTAATGTGATTGGCCGCCGTGGCCGAAATCGGTCAGGAGAACATCATCATTCTTGAAGAAAGGTTGGATTTCGATTTTGACCCCGAAATAAACTGGTTCATTAACATAACATTCATTAGTAGATAAGAAACGTAAATGTACCCTATTACTAAGCCATTCACTATTAGCAAGGACGCGCCAAATGTAAACGACAAAAAAAAAATAACAGTTTTTTTTAATTATGGAACTTATATTCGTCAAAAACTGTTCTCCCGAAATTAACCAGTTAAAAAACGCAACCGAAACCTTAAACCAAAATACCGATCGGTTTGCTGTTAATGACCAAAACTGGTTTAAATATTAAACGGGTTTCCGAGCCCTGGCAAAAAGTACTGAACCGATTTTTCTTGGGTCTTCTTGGGTCTCTTAATACGGGTTAACATTTAGGATACGTTTTACTACAGGACAGATCTATCTTACGAGAAAATACAATTAATTTAGAAATTTACATGGCTAACGCTAAACCTTAAGAGATACACCAAAATAATATACTCGAAAGATGTAGATCTTAAAAAGGCCTACAAAAAAGTCCATATATGTGTATGTCCTAAGGTGCACTCACAATAACTATTTTTATCAATTTAAAACGTACGGGACTCACCCGAGCGAAACGAGGGTAACCCGCTGTATTTTATAAGTAAAAATTCTATAGGTATACTGGAGTATAAAGTATAAACATTCGTGTTCATCACACAAATGAATACCACCAGCGGGACTCGAACCCAAGACCGCTGGCACAGAAAGTATGGTCACAACTACAAACTGAGCAATACGAGTCGTCATTGATTACTGTTAAATTATCAGCCTAGTTCAGAATCTATCACTGTACATTGTACAATATAATATGGCAAAGAATATTAATATTTCAGAATTAAGTAATTTTTCATAATATCATTCTATAAAATGCATTTTGCGATTGTTATTCACAAGTTTTAATTACAGTTATTCTCAATGTAATTTAGTAAAATAACATATCTTCTTAATGCTATATAAGAGATTATTTGTTTGTATGCTGTTCCGGATTCTTAACGTATGATTCACAACCTACAAATAGATTACGGCTCTATTTACATATATTATCTCGACTGAGTTAAGTCCAATATGGTGTCGCGCTGAAAATTATTCTAATTTTACACCATATTGGACGAGTGTACGAGTAAACCCCTTTGGGAATGTCGCTTATTAGGGTTACTGTCAAATGTGAGAAATAAATGCCTGATAAGTCTGTCCGTTTTTGTGTTATGTACAATAAATTAAGTTTTTATTAAAAATTATGAACAAAATCGGTATAATTATAAAAAAAAGCGATTGTGTACTTATGCACGTAAGAAGTTATACTTCTTTGGCGTAATAGAACAAAAATAGCTAAAGATTTCATCTCGCATGTCACAACTCTATGTAAAAGGAATGATAAATTAATAAAATAATAATATAAAGCGTATCATTTAAGGACAGAATATAATATTATGTATCATATGTCAGACAATAACAACGGTTACCATGGCAACAAACAGCAGCTAACTTCATCATGTTGCTTTTTGGCTGTCGTCGTGTACGCGCGCATCGTAAAAATTTTACTCTTATATTTTTTTAAAATGTCCCAAAAGAAGTATAACTCCAATACTATTAGCATATTATGGCAGGCTGGTCCACCTCCGCATGACGCTAACCTTGGGATATCCAATAATTTTGTTTGGTACTATAACATCATTGCTCTTAATAAGAAATTATAAAAGTATAGCTCATTGAGGTAAAGCTGCGATTAACATCTAGTTAATAATAATAATGTATCTCTTAAAAATATGTACATTTATGTCTTCCGAGTCGGTGTTAGTTTCCTCACGGACGTATAATATAGACAATTTTAATATAAAAATTGAACATTCAAAATTGCTTGTAAAAGTCTATTTGAATAAAATATATTTTAAGTTTAAGTTGGAAAAAGTTATAATAAATATAATAATATTATTGCAGATCCGAAACTTTGAATTTTAAACTCAAGTAAGTCATACATTATTTTTATCGTAGTGTACAACCTTGCTATACAAGGCAACAGCGACTTAGTATAGAAATGGGATAATACATTTTGTTAGCAGTATCATTTACCAATTCGAAGATGTACGTAAATTATTTCATCCAACAATTGTTCTATCGGCCGATGCTCTGAGATGACATCATATAAAAATAATTTACTAATACCACGTACTACTTATTTCATTATTTACTTCTTAATTAAACTTCTGCGATATATCTGAAATACGAATCATTTTAATTTTCTTTGTCAATGGTTAAAGTTTTGCGAAAAAAATTTTTTTGAGGTATTTCATGTCATTCATATAGTCTATGATCCCGATCTTTGTGCTGGACCCCTCCCTCTCTTTCCAGGCGAAATATATTTTTTAAACCATAAAACATATTAACAAACACGAGGCAGGGGAGTTGTCACCGAAAATTTGTGCCAGGGTGTTTTAATAAAAAATCCTCTTGTCTGGAGATGTTTTGGTATAACAAATCTATATAATGTTTGTTATAAAATTGTCTATATTTTGGTACTTGGTTGGTTCCGAAAAATACGATCCGATACGAGCATTTAACTACTTTTTGCATTGCTTTTTGAATTTACCTTTTTGTACATGGATGTGAGGTAATGTGGATTCGAAAAAGGTCACTAACCGTATGATGGCTACAAGTTTTTTACTTTCGATTTATACTAAGTTTTCAACGGAAAAGAGTTCTTGTATTTAAAAAAAAAATATTTTCTTTTTTAATTAAAAATAGCTTGGAGCAAATTTTTGGTGACAACCCTCCTGGGTCATATTTGTTAATATGTTTTATAGTTTAAAGAAATATATATCGCCTGTAAAAAGAGTGAGGGGTTTACCACAAAGATCGGGATCTTCTACCAATAGGTTAAGAATTTTAATGAACTGATCTACCGTTAAAGCCGGAACTATTGTTATTAGGCTTAGTCAAATTTAAATAGTTTTGTTTATCTAGTAATACGAGTAAATTTAAAAAGATTTGCATAATTTCATGTTTTTATGTTTTGTACTAATATGTATTCAAATATTTAAAAAAATGTACCAATTACGATTAATTTTTCGTAGTAGCATTGGTTTTTTATTTAAGAAAATATAATATTTGAAAGAGTTGAATAAATTATTTCTATTTTTATTATCGTTTTTGTTTATTTGAATACGCTTCTTTAGAAAATTCTTTTACGTTTTATTGCCTATTTAATGATCAAGGCATATCTATACATACCTATAAAACATTGTAACTAAGCCGAATCTGTACAATAAATATTTTTTTTTGGAAATTCTTATCGAAATAGACCTTACTATCGATACAGAGGCCGAATCTACATATAGTTTTTAAAATTTTTGTCTGTCTGTCTGTTACCGCATCACGGAAAAACTACTGGAGGGATTTTGATGAAAGTTGGTGTGATGATAGCTGGTTAACCGGGTCAACATATAGGATACTTTTTACTGCGGAAAATATCTCATATTCGAGAAATCTATACTAAATGTTAAAACGTAAGTAGGGACGAACCCGAGCAGAGCAAGGTGATTCGCTAGTAAAATAATAAATAAGTAGTTTAATAGGTATATTACGATTAGATTATAATAGATTAGTCTGTGGTATCCACGATCGAAGATACGGTCACTGAAACCAACTAACTAGATATCTTTTCTCAGTTAGGTGAATTGCTTATCAAAGGACCAAATGTCATGAAAGGATACAAGAACAATGAAGAAGCCAATCGTCAGACCTTCATTGATGGAGATTGGTTTCGGACGGGAGATCAAGCGAAAATAAATGAAAATGGAAGAGTCTATGTTGCTGATAGATTAAAGGAATTGATTAAGGTAACAATAAAATAATTTGACAGCTTAAAGTGGTTTTGTAAATTTGCATAGTGCGTACGCATTTACGTTGTAAGAACAAGTTTCATTGTGAGACTTTGGACTTACGAGTACATAAATCAAAGAGCGTGTGTAAGAAAAATACGACGCACTTAATCTATACATATAATAAAATTGTAACTAAGCCGAATCTGTTCATTAAATATTTTTTGGAAATTCTTATTGATATAAACATTATTGTCGATACATGGGTCGAGTCTATAGTTTTTAGAATTTTTGTCTGCCTGTCTACCGCATCACTGGGAAACTACTGTACAGATTTTGATGAAATTTTGTAAAGTGATAGCTGGTCATCCGGGTTATAGGATACATTTTATCGCGAAAAAATGCCTCAATTCTGAGAAAAATTCAAAAACTGCGATGTATGATACTAATAATATGTAAAACCTAATAATTTGGTTTTTGGTCATCTGAACGCCGGCGGAGCCGCGGGCAATGCTAGTCAAAAATAAAAATCGACTATTTAATATCGAATATGTTTGTATAAAATTTCTACTTGTGTAAATTGGTCAAACTTTCAAGAATTATTACTCTCGGGCAAAATTTGTACGAATGTTCAAAATGTCTATTTGTAAGTAATATATGGATGAAATATAGTTGACTAATTTGAAAATTTTGAAAATAGTGCTACAAATGTTTTTAATTTAAAATTTTAACGTTACAGGTAAACGCTTATCAAGTACCACCAGCAGAATTAGAGAGTCTGCTTAAGGAACATCCTGCAATACTAGACGCAGCTGTGATTGGAATTCCAGACAAAGTAACAGGGGAAAAACCTAAAGCCTTCATAATATTAAATAAAGGAGCTAATGTTACGGAGAAGACTGTAATGGACTATGTCTCAGAAAGAGTCTCGCCGTACAAAAGATTAAAAGAAGTACAGTTCGTTGAAACCATTCACAAGAATCCTACAGGAAAAATATTGAGAAGACTACTTCGCGAAGAACATTCAAAGAAGTAAAGTTACCAAATAGTCAAAATTGATGTATATTTCTTATAATTTTTGGAGTATGGTCTTAAATAATAATTATTATATATAATTATAAATAGAAGTTAAAATTTTTGGAACTTCATTATTTTTGTTTGGAGTATTGAAGAATAAGTATCTTCTGCTTTTGAGAATGTTTCATCTGTAAGTTTAAAAAATATATGTGTGAGTAAAAATAAATTTATGTTCAAATGCTTTTTATTTGAAGTAAAAATATTTGCTGGTATTAATAATTTCAAGTAATAATAGTTCTGTTAAATATATATTTATTTATAAAGGAATACATATTTTTATACTATATCAGATGTTGTACGTACTAAGGGACATTTTATTTTGAAATATAAAAAAAATAATTTTTTCTTCAATAAAAAACATATTATTAAAACCAGAGTTTCAGCTCGTAAATTACGTAGATTACGCAAAGGATAGCAGTAGACTTTTTTTTTAAACTAGATTTAAGATACTAATTTGAGTTTTTTTTTTATTTTTTCTAGGACTATAACTTTGTGTCTACGTAATATGAAATTAAAAAATGTAGTGTAAATGACATATTTTTAAAGAATCAGTTATATTTTTACCCCACTGAAGCGAAGTCCAAAGGGCCTTTCTTTGGGCCTTTTTTTCTTTATTTGTTTGACCTGTATGATGTATGACTGCATAATACTTTGTTACTTCATTAACTCATTACCATATTTTTTATTCGTTTTCTTTATTTTATTGTATATTTTTTTAAGTTTTTACAAATACCATGTTTTTCGAAATGATTTAGGTGTATAACTTGTTTTCTTTAAAGCTCGTGTGGAAAATAATGTTTTATAATTCAATATAGATCGTCAAGGACGTAAACCTGTATTTTATGAAGTCATAAATCAATTTATTACCTAATGTCATTAATCTAAACTTCAATGCTTTGTTTTCATTAGAAACTGGTCGGTTACTGGACAGAACATTAATTTTATTAAAACTTTGTATTTCTGAGATATTATAATTAAAGCTTTTATTAGGTATATTGAAGAAAACATTCAAGAAGAGAGTGTTGGACTTATGCAGATGCTATGGATTTGTGTTTAGGTGCTCTCGCGTCAATTATAAACTAACATATTACATTATATTTTTTATATAGCAACTACCTCTCCGCTTCTGTCGGGTTTGTCCCTAGTGTAAAACAAAAAAAATCTATCCCACGGGAGCCATACATTTTTCCGGGATAAAAACTACCCTATGTGCTATTTCAGACTATAATCGATCTTTGTGCGAAATTTTATCCAGATTTGTTCAGCCGTTCTGGCGTGATTCACACACATCCATCCAAACTTTCCATTTATAATATTAATGGGATTATATAATCTGTATAAATAAAAATGAATGTTTGTATGCATTCGTGCCTTCTCTATACGTTCCTAAATCATTAAGCTGATTGTAACGAAACTCTCGTGACTTATCCTGTATACGCTTGTGAAAGTTCCTGGCTGAAAAGAAAATGTTTTTTTATGCGTTTCTAAAATATTCAAGCACCCGCTGATTAAGGATGCACCCGAGCAAAGCGAGGGAAAGTCGCTAGTTATATAATATTTTATAACAAAATATTTAAAGGTTTTTTTTTTGCAACAATAAGTCAAAATAAGATTATATATGAAAAATAGAAGATTAATCTAATACATAAAAATAAATAAATGATAATTATTAAATATGTTAAGCGTAAAAAGGGAGTTAATATTTTTATACAACACTAGCACCTTTAATCACTAGTAGGTACTCATCTATATACATACATGTAATAAAATTCTAACAGAGTCGAATCTGTACATTAAATCTCATAGAAATAATCAATAGTATCGACACAGAGGTCGAATCTATAGTTTTTACAATTTTTGTCTGTCTCTCTGTCTGTGACCGTATCACGGAAAAACCACTGGAGGGATTTTGATGAAATTTGGTATCAAATAGCTGGTTATTTGGGTCAACATATACTATTAGGATACTTTTTACTGCGAGAAAATATCTTATCTCTGAGAAATTTATACTAAAAGTTAAAACGTAAGTAGAGGGTGAGTCGCTAGTACAATCTAAAATCGTATTAAAATAGATTATACTCTATATTTTAAATGCCATCAAACAATGATTCTATAACAGATATTTATTAGAAAATATTTCTCAAAATTATTCACAGTGTTTTAAAAATGTATAATTCAGAACAAAATTAGCATTTCGCATACCATTTATGTAACATCTTTCTAGGCGCCACTGTTATTTTATTTTATAAGGTTTTTCCGTGTCAGAGTCGCCTTTTATTTGAATTCCAATCAGTTTTTACATTCTTTCTGTTTCAAATTTTGCTTACTATATCTTATTCGAACTGGTTAGATTATGTTATAATTCTATTGATATATTTATTGGTTTAGATTGTTTTGATATTTGGGACTTATTTATTATTTATTATTCAGGAGAAAATTAGTTCTAAATGGCTGATTAAAAAATTAATAATTACTTTTTGCAAAATTTTTTGTGGCACAGTGCTATCTTATAATAACTAAGGTAAAAAGTACATTACCTTCAAAATAAAAACAAAATAGTAACGATCTCAGTAAATTTTTTTATATTTATAGGCATGGGTGCTCCCATTTCCCACACAGGTTTTATGTATTCATTAAAAAAGTAGAAGAATTTTAGAAATCAACGAAGGTATTGTGGTAACATACAATAAAAAAACATATAGGTTTAACTTTTCACATTTTGATATTCTTTGACTGTTTTATCTCTAAAAAGGAAGTTGATAGTTACTTTGCTGCACTTTTTGAATTTTTGAAATCCTTTGCGATGTCTTAGACCTTAGTCTCTCCCGTGACCATGATTCCTGTAAAACATACGAAACGTCGGTAACCAAAAATCAAAAATAAATCCGCTAAATAATCCGAAAAGATAGTTTTATTTAAAACTCTACCTCTTTATAATATTGGTATATATGTTATTCAATCTCTAGTAATAACGATGTAAAATAATATTACGAGTTGTCGTATTGTAAACAAAAGCAGGAAACCTAAGAAATTTCTTAGACGTTTAACGATGACTATCATTATTACTATTGACATTTCCTGGAACATTAATGATTATGTTTATTTCAAGACAATTGAGAATATGTTAGAACCATAAGGCCCATTTACATAATGATAGTTTATTACAACGGAATTCTCATAACTAAAAGGAATAGCCCAGAAAGAAATAATTTTCATAATAAAAGTGTAGGTATATTGTTTTAATTAAAACAAATATACTTACTTCAATGAAGAAAATATGATACAATATAACTTAAAGGGTCCTGTATATTTTGAAATACTAAAAAAAAATATATGTAATTTTAAAGCGCAGGCTAAAAGTTGAAATTTTAAATAAATTAATTAATTGCAAAAAATAATAATTTTTGTTCTTTTTAGGGCATTAAAAATAGGTTTGTAGAATGCATATATTATATATTGCATTTGTGCCGTTGGTTCCTAAGAAAATCTGTCAAACCCTGAGTGTGGCAGCCAGATATATACGTGTACAAAATTTCGTACCTGTGCTATTGAACTGTGAGGAGATCTCTCTTTTGGAGTCAATCATGGATCCAGCAATCATGTCGTAGACTTTAGAACGGGCTATAGTAATTGACTGCGTATATAAAATTTTGTACCTGGACTGTTAATCGTTGAGGAGTTGCCTCGTCTGGAGCTTATCCTAGATGGTGAAAAAGATCATAATTATCATAAAAACCAATTAGAACTGGACCAACATGTAAAATTTTTAATCTGTAGGTTAAGAGGAAGTGGTTCTAATCCTGCTTTTGATTTTGCTTTGCAAGGCTTATCACATACGTTGGTATAGGTTACCAATATACATATATTAACCAACAAATATTGCAAGTAATAAAGAACAGTAAAGCCTTATACAAGTAGGTAAGTATTAAAGGCACCAGTGCCAAATTCCATGTCCACTGTCAAAACGAATACCTTTTAAAACTTTTTAGAGTTCTTTTACAAAAAGATAAGGTTTATTAACTTTATTGACAATGCTATGAATAATTTGTATAAATAACTCCGATCTACATATTTGGAGATTTAAGAAAATGGCCAATAATATATTTTTACTTAAAATAAGATTATTTTTCGAATTTTAATATGTTTCTAAATTTAGGAGCAGTGGAAAAAGGCTTACAACCACTACCAAAATGATAAAATATAATCGATTCTTATTAGTCATAAAGTTTTTGTTTATGACTTTTGGGCAAACGGAATATACTTACGTACTAGGAGCTTGCTCCGATTTTACGTAACTTGTACACAAGCTTTTACTTGACTTCACAATTTTGCCCTATAAGTACATTTAATTTAGCTCGAGCTAGCATAATCTTCACGAAAAGCCATATTTAACCATTATGGTTTAATTTTGTGGGGCTTAAGTGGGGAAAAGAGTTTTAAAAACAAACCATTTTTATATCCGCAAATATTTTTTCTCATATAAAATTGCCACCCATACCTGCCTTTATAAAAACACGGTATAGTGCTTTGTTCAGAGTGTTGACGAATTAGTCACTAGCATCTTTATACAGGGTCATTTTTAATTTACTGAAACCCCTTTGAGAATATACTTTTACATCATAACAACAACATCTGTAACAAGAAAAAATAATATTTCTTAAATTTTTATTTTCATACAAAAATAAAAATATTTTTATTGCACATTCTAAACGGTAAAGTTCTAGCATCTGGCCAAGTTTAAATGAGTAAGCGCGGCTTCCCACACCCCTCCACTAGCCACATATTATATGATTATTACTACTGACTATACGAAACCATACTTTATATCATTTAGAGGTTTTGCTTTATTTTGTCTCACGCGCCTCAGGTTGAACGATTTTCCTTGAGTGGAATTCCAAAAAGTATAAAAGTTAAGACAAGGTGTTAGGTGTTTTTGATATCTAAAAATAAAAAGCT